CCAATCAATTGTCATACTATTCAATGCTTAAAGATTCAGAGAATTATCAGCTGATGGGGATGGAGGTCAGTTATAACCCTAAATCCCTTTCCAGAGAAGGGTGAAAGAGAGATTTATGAAATGTAAGTGTGGCAGATGTATAGGATTTCATCTGTTGTATCTCCTCCTTCCCTACATTTTTTGGGTAGTGTTATATAAATGAATGGCAGCTAGGTGGTACAGCGGATAGAGAACCGGGCCTGGAGTCAGGAAGACCTGAATTCAAATCTGGCCTCTGACACTTTACTAGCTGTGTGACCCTGGCTGGGCAAGTCACTTAGCCCTCTTTGCCTCAGATGAGGAAATCTGTAAAATGAGCTGGAGAAGGAAATGGCAAGCCACTCCAGTATCTTTGCCATGAAAACTCCAAATGCAGTCATGAAGAGTTGGACACTTCTGAAACAACTGAACAACATAAATGAGACTCTCAGTTCAAGATATCCATGTTTAAAAGATTTGGGGCAAGTGGGATAGAGGTTGAGGGTTGGGATATATGTGTATAAAGGCAAGAGACTTACTGCCTTTTTCCGAGTAGCAGCTCTGTCCTCCTGTGGAGCATCCATGCTATCCTGCTTTACTCAAAGCCATTCCATTATCTTGCCTTTACACAGGCATCCTCCATGACTGGAATATTCTCCCTCTTAACTTCTATCTGTTAGAATTTCACATCTTTCAAACTTAGCACATTTGTCACCCTCTGTATGCTTTCTTGATCCTCCAGCTGCTTTCTCTCTTTTCAAATTATCTTTCTGTGGACCTGGGTACCTGTAAACCTCCTACGTGAATGAAAACTCCTTTAAGGGTGGGACTGTTTTCTTTGTATCCTGTCTTTGTATCCTCCCTGTGTCTAGTACAGTCCTTATCTGCTGAACTGTTTTTCAGTGCCCTGGATCCAGGATTGTCTTTATTCTGGATACAAGGGAAAATGGATAGGGATCTTATGTGTGCCCCACCCCCTTTATCAATCAATCAATGTCTAAGGGTCTACTATGTGCCAGGTCTTAGAGATATATATAGATTAGATATAGATATAGATATAGATATATATACACACAAAGAATGTATCAATCCATATTCTCATAGAGCTTATATTCTAACAGGAGACAAATACATATATAAGGAAGAGATTTTGTAGAAATAAAGCATGATGGTGTAAGAAGCTTCTACATGCCTGAGAATGTGACATTGGGAAGTATTCATTAAGGAATCTTTTGGGACTTTGGGTTACTGTCCTGTAATTGATGATTATATATGATGACTTTCCTTTCCTTGTTAAAGAAGCTCTTTTGTTATTTTGTGGTCAGCAAGCAAGCAAGTTGCAAGGAGAGTTTTGCTAGCTTTCTAAGTAGTGAGGCAGCAAGTTTCTCTGATAAAGGTCTTATATCCAAGAAATTTATAAAAATATATTAAAAAAGAACCATTTCCCAATAAATAGTCTAAGCATATGAACAAGCAGTTTTCAAAGGAAGAAATCTGAACCATCAATAACCATATGAAAAATGTTCCAAACCTAATAATTATCAAAATATAAATTAAAGTAACTCTGGGTGGGGTTCTATCTCACACCCATCAGATTAACAAAGATGACATAAGAGGAAAATGACAAATATTGGAGAAGCTGTGGGAAAACAGGCATGCTAATACACTGCTGGTGGAATTATGATTTGGTCCACTCATTCTTGAAAGCAATTTTGAACTATGCTCTAAAGTCACTAAACTGTACATACCTTTTGACCTGTGACACTATTACTACTATTACCCTTTGACTCCAAGTCTATTACCCGAAAGAGATTAAAGAACAAGGAAAAGGACCCATAGGTGCAAAAATATTTATAACTGCTCCTTTTGAAGTAGCAAAGAACTGGAAACTTAAGGGAGTGTCTGTCTATTAGGGAATGGTTAAACATATTATGTTATATGAATGTATCAGTAAGATTATTTGATACTTTTTTTTTTTAAAAAAGAGGGCAATCAGTGGAACATACTAGGCATACAACAAACAAACAAACACAGTAGTGTAAAGTTTGGCAATCTACTTAGTGGTGTAAGGACTCATTATACCACAAAAACCTCTGGGAAAATAGCAGGCTGACAGAAATTAGATTTAGACTAATACCTCACACCATAAACCATTATGAGCTCCAAATGAATACAAAAGACATACAAAAAGTCACATCATAAACAATTTAGAGGAGCAAGGAAAAAAATTACTTTTCAGATCTATGGATGTGGGAAGAGTTCATGACTAAACCAGCGATTGAGAGGATCATATAAAATAAAAAGAACAGGTTTTGATTATATAAAATTTAAAAAACATTTTACACAAACAAATCTAGTATAGTAAAAATTATATGGAAACCATCTGGGAAATTTTTTTGCAACATTTCTCTGATAAAGGAAAATAGGCACATTAGTGCACTATTATATATGTGTTGTGCTTAATTTCCCCAAGCCTATATAACATTTGTCATTTTCTTCCTTGGTCATCTTGATTGATAGGTATTAGTGCACTGTTATAGGGCAGCTAGGCGAGCAGTGGATAGAGTGCTGGGCCTGTAGTCAAGAAGACATCTTCCTGAGTTCAAATATGGCCTCAGACACTTGCTTGCTGCGTGAGCCCTGGACAACCTTAAACTTTATTTGCCTCAGTTTCCTCATCTGTAAAAATGAGCTGGAGAAGGAAATGGCAAGCCACTCTAGTATCTTTGCCAAGAAAAATCCAAATGGGGTCATGGAGAGTTGGACATGACTGAAAAAGACTGAACAACAAAGTGCATTGTTGATGTTACTATGAACTATTTGGAGCTAAGTCTAGAAAGGAACTAAATTGTGCACACCCTTTGACTTACCTACACCACTAATACCCCAAAGAGATCAAAGAGAAAAGAAAAGAATATATATGCAAAAATCTATATGCAAAAATATTTATAGCAGTTCTCTGCCTCTCTACATTTTTATATATATATGTGTGTATATATAAAAGATATGTATATATACACATGTATGTATGTATGTGTATGTGTATGTGTGTATGTAACCCTAAACTAGAAGGTAAGAGAGTATCCTCCTATTAAGAAATGACTAAACATATTGTCATATGTGAATGTGATGGAACACATAAACAATGATGAAATGGACAATTTCACAGGAAACCGGGAAGATCTTTGTGAAGTGATACAGAGCAAAGTAAGCAGAACTATGAGAGCAATTAATAAAATAAAAATTATATTACAGAGAAAAATAACTTTGAAACACTGTAGAACTTTTATCAATGCAGTGATACTCCATGAATCCAAAAGAATGAAATTGAAATATTCCACTCATCTCCTGATAAAGAGGTGATGTATTTTAAACGCAGAAAAAGATATAATGGACAAATTTACTTTGAGAGCTATATTTGGGAGTTTACTTTTTAATTTATCAATGAGGGTTAGTAGGTGGGATATATTAAAAATGTTTCTTAATTGAAAAAAATATTGGTTTTGTCACTTAGCTTTGTTAACCTTCAATTTTATTATTTCTAAAATGAAGGAATTAATCTAGATGATCTCCTAAGGTTCCCTTAATTTAAAGACCTCTGGGCCTTACCATCTGACCTGTCACTGCACTCATAACTTCTGGGCCTTTCCTTATGCTTGGCAGCTAAACTTTCTTTTATGATGTCACATTGTCATTTGGAGGTGACCCTGGTCCTTAAAAGCTACACCAGTGGAGTTCTAACTTGGGCAGATTCTATCAGGTCAGATCCATTTTCATTAGAATTTATTTTTGGATTTTCACATGCCTAGACCCATTGCACTCTTTATCAGATGAAACATGACTTGTATTAGTAACATACTCCAAAAAACAAACAACAGCAACAACAAAAACTCCAACCATTTCTACACATGGGATGGACAAAAAGAATACTACAGTAAGATATCCCAGCCACATCATGACTTTCCCTATCGTGGTTTCGATAAATTGCAGGTCGGCATGAGAAATTAAGTGGGAATTTGGGGGGAGTTTTGTAGAAGCTGCAGATGATATGTGAAGGCCAGAAGATGCCACAAAGCCTATGACCAAATACTTAACCCACAATTTACAATAAGGTACTGTAAACATCCCATGAAAGAAAAAGAAAAAATTCAGACTTCTTTGGTAGGCAGGCGAGGCCAAAAAAATTTATGTGAATTTTCCAGATTGAGGCGATGCCTTGCCCCTATCCCCCGAGATGTGGAAGGGATAACTATAATATCTTAAATGTTGTAGTCATCGTTTGTTCTAATCATCATACAATTCAAATTTTGTCAAAATCACATTGACATTTTTATTAAATAAACAACTCCTCTGCTTGACCTATTCTGTGCCAACTCTTTTTTCCTGTGCCAACTCTTTTTGATACTGTTTATGCCTACTTTTAGAAATAAATTCTAAAACAATTAGAGAACTTTCAGTCTTTAAGAAGGAATAAAATTTTTAGTCTGATAATATGTCTTTCTGTAAAAAAAAAAATAAGGTGGAAATTCTGGTACGAGGTACCTTAATTATATATACTTTAGCTCCACCTTTACTCCCCACTAAAGACTTTGATTACTGGTCTCTTTTTTGGTGTTTCCATCTACAATATCTCTTTCCTACTAGAGGGTAAAATTGAAGGCAGAGACCAATTTTTCTGACTTTGTATTCTATACAGTAACTAACACAGTGCTTTGGACATAGTTGGCACACCATAAATATTTGTTGAATAAACAAGTTATCTCCCACCCTGTTCTGGGCAAATGTTGGCTTTTACTAAGGACAAATTCTGATGAAACTTTAAAATAACCCTTTCTCCTTGCAGGTGTGATGTTCATTTACAATCTGTTCATGCCAGCAAACTGTCAGTTAGAAGATAGGGATGTTCACACAGATGGCACTGTCAGATGAAGAGGATCTACTATGAAGGGACAATCCACAAGATCCAGCTAAAGAGCACTTACCAGAAACAGGTAGGATAACATTATATTGTGCATCTGCAAAGGAAAAAAGGACATGAAAAGTGATTACTACTGAACCCTGAGGCTGCTAAATAAAACAAGTGTTTCATGCCCCTCACCCCATTGAACTTTAACCAAAGAGACACAGGGAAAGTATGACTAAAGTGTAGGTGCTTGACTCATTCTTTTGGAAATGCAAGGGCTGTCACGTATGTGTCCTGGAAGAATATGACTCACTGGAAGTGGGGCCAGACTTTTAGATAAGAAAAGCCCTGGCAAACACATGACAGAACGGGGTCAAGACTCCAAATAACATCCTATTTGAAATACAAAGCACCCTCAAACTTTTAAAAGAAAACCCCAACACAGTAAAATACAACAAATGACTACACTATGAAGAGTTTTGTCATTGGAAAGGCATTGGAACGTATCCTTTATTCCTCTGTAGGGGGGATCACTAAGTAGATGCTACAATTTGATGGCTCAATCTTATTCTAGAACCAGCCTTGCCATGAAGGTTAATAAGGTAAGCTTTTTTGTTTCTGGCCCCTTTCCCCATGGACTTGGCTAGGTTATTCCATAGAATAAAGACTGTAGTCTTTTTATGGCTGTGGGAATGCCCAGGAGCCAAAGGGAGAGAGCTAACTCAGCATTGACTCTGTACCCAAATGTAACAACAACATGCAAAAATTGCTTTGCCCTAGCTATCAGACCAAATTTAAGTGACAAGAAATGTGTAGCTAATCTTTCTTAAAGTGGAGAGGAGTCAGTGGCTAACCTGATATTATCCCATGGGTAGTGGGGGAAGATTGCTCCACGGTCTGTGCTGTTGTTTGAGCCAGGGCTGTGAAGGACCAGTTTCGGGTTGTTATTATGACTGTTGCAGAAGGTGGTTCTGATGATATGTCCTTGGAGACTGGCTTCGAGACCGTACCTGCTAATGCTGGAGATGCTGTGTGTATGGATGATGAGAGGGAGATAGAGGTTGACACCATAACTGTCTCTGTTGCCACTGTGGTGTCTGACTTGGAAGCTTCTGGTTCTACAATGAAGCCTGAGATATTGAGAACATAAATATTTTAAAGCAAGTCTCTTTTGTGGCAGGGTTTGGGGTGAAGGCTGATTTAGAAACATAATCCAATAATCAGAATCTAGTTCTGATCCTACAACACTAATCTAATATTAACCTTTGCTTTCTGAAACTAACCCTTTAGGACATCTCTCGAAGTGTAACATTTTATCTCATTCGGAATGACTACTAAAATTCTGGGAAGTAGAGAGGATCCATTATTATTTATTCTACCACAATGTAAGGAAAATGATACAAAGGCTTTAGTAGGTACAGACCTGCAGAAAGAAGCATTTTTATAGTATCTATGAAGCAAAGTATCTGGGAATATTTATTTTAAAAAAATAAATACTTACAATATTTACTAAAGATGCCTTGGATTCAGGTTTTAAATTTCTAAATTTTTTCTCAAAACCTTGAAATAAGTGAAACCCTTAGCTGTCCAGTTCTTCCAGCTCAGAGAGTTAAGTACCTCAAACCCTGTTCTGACCTTGTGCTAGAGATCAGCATGGGTTGGAAGACCTAGCTTGATCATTCCTGTGTGGTACATAGTTGCAAAATACCAATATAGTGGGATATTTTTGCCAGTTTCCATAAAAGGAATTATAGTTTAATATATAACTTTCTAACATAGCCCCCTATAGTACCGGATAATGATGGCCTCAAATTTGCTTGTTGACCCCACTGTGAAAGTAGCTTTTTGAAAAGCAAGTCTCTCTGGTTATATATGTTTATGGCCTCTTCTATATACTCCCCTAGCTATAAACTCAGTGTAGAATCTTTAGTTTCTTTGCTACCACTCCCATTTGTCATATACTGCCCAAAGAAATGTGCCAAAGCACAATTTATATGATATCATGTAAATATGGTGGATAGATATCTCAGAGTAGCAAAGTTAGCGCACATATGGTAAGTTGTCTTGAGTTTTTGATAGCAGAACTGTCAGGCTTGGAGCTGAGAATTTTTGATCAAGACCAGGGTAGGCCCAGAAATGTAAGTGACATAGCAAAAGTGAAATCCACAGACAATTCACAAACTTATTTTTATTCTAAATATCTTCCTTTAAAAAACAATCCAGAACTGTTTACTGTTAATTGAAAAAGACTCATCTCTTCTCAATTTCCCCATCTATTCTTTGGTGTATGTACTAATGGGTAGTGAAATAGATGAAGAAGAGGCCGCAGAAAAACCAAAGGGACTGGGTGATATGCAAATACCATAATCTATCTCTAACTAATCTACAGTTGACTATAAAATAAGAGTATGACCAGCTAAGAATTGAGTGTATCATTCTAGAAATTTGTAACTGTTGAATAGAACTTATCCTGAGAATGAACAGCCCTGAAGAAACTGGGATGGAAGATTACCCCAGGCTCAACTGAAATGCGATAGCATTTGTTACTATACACACATCATGGTAATAAACCAACTATCATAATTCTGATGTTGATTTGAGCCACTCAACACTTTACTTTAAAATTATGCCAATTAGGAAACATAAAACTAGGATGTGAAACAACAGTCAAGTTCTCTTGATTTTAAAGAATTGAAATTAAGATGATGTTAGACCTTCCCTTTAGGCTTTAGTTGTAGCTATCTTTTTACAAGTTTGCTAAGTTTCCTAGCCACAATTTATGCATTTTATTGAAATGGAAATAAAGGTTGTAGCAGGAGAAAGGAGTCCTACAACAGCATCTGATTCAAATAGTCCTACCTTTGCCAGTAGGGGTGAGAAGTTCCTCTGTTGTCGAAGAAGTTGGCTTTTGGTGAACCAGTGTGGGATCTTCTAGAGAAGAAAATTAGATGATATTTATGGCTGAGGTCTGAACTATGGTTGTTCAGAAATGTAAATACCTTTGCTATTTATTTTTTCTTTTTAACAAAGAGGTAGTGACTCTCTTTTTAGGCTGGCTGCCTTTAGAGGCACAAGTAATGAACTAAAGATCGCCTTGAAATTCCTCCAGCTCAGATTATAGAATTTTACTATTTTGGGTGTCGGTCATGTCACATATAGATGGCAGTTTCCTCTGAAGGTAATACTATCAGTGGCAGGAGGGAGAAACTAGGAGTAAAACCTGATCTCTTTTACCAGGATATAAAAACCTGTAAGGATTATGTGTGCTATAAATTCTGTTGAACTCTAGAACTCCCCTAACTCTCCCAGTGATTGAACAGACCATCTTCTCTTCATTGGTTCTTCAACTGCTGTGATGCTGATTCACATACCTGAGCAAAACCCAGCACCCTGCCTCTGTCCTTTTCTTAGCAGTCTGCATCTGATAACTGCTTCTCAGCTTTGTGCAACCTTCCTGGCACTCCTGGCCTAAATGGAAACTTCTTCTTCGTCTAGGCTCAAGAAGCCTTATTCAGCATGTGTCACGGAGGGACACACAGTCTGTAGCAGGTCTTTTCCTGGCTTTGTGCCTGAGTTAGTTCTTTCTCCAGCCCACGTTTGTGTTCTAAGCACTCTGGAACCATTAACTTTCAAGTCATTTCAATGGGACAGGTCAAGGGGCAGCCTTATCTTGGACCTCATAGCAAGATGATGGCAGAGCTGGTTAGGATGAGTCTTCTAGTTGACAATTTTTGGGGCATGATTGCAAATTCTACATATTTCTGCCTACCTAATTCAACTTTATTAGCTATGCAGCTGGTGAGGGAATGCTGACAACAGTCTTGTTAATCCATTCAGGCCTACATGTCAAACAAAGAATTCTTTTTAACAAGCCATCTGTAATTTGATCATTCAGTGATTTATATAGCTTTTAGTATGCTCTTTCCCACTGACACAGGAAAGCTGTTGGAAAAGGGGCCACTTACTGATGCATTTCAGATTCGTCTCTGTCCAGTGGGCAGTGTTCGAGTTCTGGTCAAGTATACACTGAATAAGGTTGGATGTCCCAGCTTGACGTTTGAAGCCTGAATTACAAACATATCGCTCCCTGGATTTCACACTGTGACTCTTGACCTGAATATCCGCATGTTCAACAGATCTGGGAGGAGGGCATGTCACTTCTGTAAAAGTACAGAGAAGAAGGAAGATGGAATACTCGGGGCTATTGTTACTATTAGGCCCATTAAAACAAATGCCCTAGGTTCTAGAATGTTGATTAAAAAAAACTTCTGTGGCCTGGAGGTCTTTCTGAGGATCTCACAGTCATATTTTAGCATATCAGTGACCTTATACTGCTAGTAGCATAAGCACAGGGAAAGCTGCATAGTACATTAGAGGAAGGAAATCTAGGTTAAAATCCTGATTCAGACACTTATTAGTTATGTGGTTTTGGCACATCACTTAAACCCTAAGCGTTGCAATTTCTGCACCTATAAAATGGAATAATAACAATTGTACCTACTACTTCACAGATGTTGTGAGAAAAGTACTTTGCAAACCTTAAAGTGCTATATAAATACTTACTGAGCACTTATCTTGTGCAAGGTATTATGGGGAATACCAAGAAGAATTAGACCTGGGCCCTGCCCTCATGGAGCTTACTGTCTAACAAAAATGAAGGAAAGTAATATTACTTACTATTTTACCTAATATAAATTTCTATGGATCCTGGGAAAATGGTCATTTGTAAGATCTTGGTAACATCTGAAATATATGTATTCTATGACGGTGATGCAAGGTAGAGTCTGGTGTTATGAAAAGTCTGAAAGGGTTCCCTTAACAATCACTCAATCAATAAACATTAAGTACCTACTATATGCCAGACACTGGTGCTAAGAGCTGGGAACACAAATACAAATAAAAACAAAGACAAAACAGTGGTATCAGCTGTGTTACAGCTAAACCATACAGACTAACTTCTATAAAGTTTTAGTCAATATTATTGGCTTATCCCTAATGTGTCATGGGGTCTAGTCCATGGTCACTGACAAAATTTTCCCTGAAATCAAGATTAGTAAGTAAAGAGGTGAATTTTATCTGAGTAGAAAGATAATTGAATTGGCAGACTCTGTCCCTTCCCCTCAGCTCTACTGTAGAGAGATCATGTAGAAATATAAGGCATAAACTTCCCTGGTTTAGAGGATCTGGAGCCAGAAGGAACTTTAAAGGTCATCTAGTGTAACTACCTCATTTTACAGATGAGGAAAATGAGGATTGGAGAGGTTTGGTGACTTCCCCAAGATCATACAGGTAATGAGTGGAAAAATCAGGATTTGAACCCAGGTTCTCTGACTCTAAATTCAGTGCCTTTTTTGTGGAAGCACACTTTGCCATACCAGTGCTTTAAAAAGAATTTTATGTCTACTTAACTCTGCAAACTTTTTTGCCTGCTTTCATATCTACCTTCACTGATGGCTAACAGGTTCCCCTAGTTCATCTCCCACCGTAATATGCCACTAATCTCTGCCATACGAGTGTACCATGCTAGTCATATGGCCTTTCTTGTTGCTACCTATCCCTAATTCCTCCAAGCCAGACTTCCCCTTAGGCCTTATCCTGACCTTTATACTGACTGTGTCCCCTGAGAGTCCTATTTCATTGTTATCAAACTTCCTGCTATCCTCCTTCTATCTATGTCCTCTAATTCACTAAAACCTGGGCTATCAGCTATAAAGTTGGACATGTCTTCTCACTCTTACTAGCTCACCACCCCTAATCTCTCAAGACCAGGGAGTAGTTAGCACACTCTTTGCTTCCCAGTATCTCTGTCAACATTACTCAATAACCTCTCATTTGAATCTTTTTTGGGAGGGTCTCATTTAAGATTAATATTACCCAACTACCCAACTCACTTCCAATCCTCATTACTATCATCTATCCATTTTCAGATCACTCATCCACCTTTCCTCTATTATAATAGCATTTGCTTCACAGTCTCCTCAGCACTCTTTTCTTGCCAGCATCCTTGTAGTCTAAATCATCTACCCTGAAAACCATTCTAACACCTTTTCCTCCAGGCTGCTGAATTTATCAGTTCCTATGACCTTTATCCCCACCTTACTTAAGCTAATCATTGTAGTGTCCAGCCTTGGACCTCATCATCATTCAAAACTATTCTACCTCCAGGATCCTCAATTCTGAAATTTCCTACTCTGACCATAGTTTGATCACTTCTACCTCTTCCTCCTCCATCCCTTACTCCTTCCAATCCCAGTTCTGAGCTCTCATTATAGTATTCATCATTCATCATTTGATTCAATTCAATTCAGTTCAAACCAATCCAATTCAGCACCCATGTTTTTAAAAGTACCTTCTAATGTAAGGCTTTGTGAGTATTTGGGGTACAAAAATTAAGAGTTTACAACTTGCTAGGAGAGTAATAAGACATGCACATAAATAAGTATAAAACAAGATAAAATGAGAGGTGAAAAAGGAAAGATGAAGATAAAATATTATGGGGAAATTTGAGGTGAGAGAGATCATTTAAAGATGGGAAGATCAGGGGAAGATTATGGAGAAGGTGACACCTGAGCCTTCCTTTGAAGGAAGAGAAGGATTTTAATAGGTAGATATGAGGTGAGAAGAATACACTTTCCAGGTATGGTGGGAAGTCTGAACAAATTCACAGAGGTGGGAGACTGCAAGAGGAGATTTTGAAAATTCAATTTATCTGGAACAGAGAATACATAAAGGGGAGTAATGTGAAATAATGCTCACTGTACTTTTAGTTTATCAGTCTTGCTCTAGTTTAACTCTCTTCCCTACTTAGTTTTTACCTTGTGGTTAGGCAACTCAATAATGCCTCTTCTCTCTTAATGGCTTTGTTCCCTCAATGAACCACTTTTTCTGTTCTAAAAATCTGCAGTCTTGGGTAACTCCTACCATCTACCTCTTCTCCTCCTATTCCTAAGCTGCTGAACTCTGCTGGAGGAAATAATGAAATCATTCTGAATACAACCACTACAAATTTATGTTATCTAGTTTGCTGCATCTGATGCTATTGAACACCTTGTTCTCCTGGACACTTTGTCCTCTCCCTCTCTGGAATTTCATTACATTACTTTCCTGGTTTTCCTGTCTAACTGCTCCTTCTCAGTCTCCTCCGCTGTCTCTCAAGCATATACCTCCTCTGAGTATAGTTCAGTTGGTCTTCCTTTCCATGTTTATTTAAGGTCATTTTTACTTCCTTATATAGTATACTGGGGAATGTAATGTTAGAGTCTCAAGCCTGCACCTCTCTCCCCAACTAGTGTCAATCAACAACATTTATTAAGCACCTACTATGTGCCAGGCACTGTGCTAAGTGCTGGGTATACAAAAAGAGGCAAAAGATAGTCCCTAATCTTACAAGCTTACAATCTAATAAGGGAGACAAGAAGACAACAAATATAAACAAAGCAAGCAATACACAGGATGAATAGTAAATAATTAACAGAGGAACGTACTGGAATTAAAAAGAGTTGTAGAAGTTGGGATTTTAGTTGGGACTTAAAGGAAAGTAGGGAGATTGGAGGGAGATTTCCCAAAAAAAGGGATGGAGATTTAAACTCTGGGTAGAAAAGTCACCAATGATGTGCTTTGGGAAAAACGAGAAGACAAAGGAGTTATTTACTCAGATTGCCTCTCATCAACTGTCACAACTGCCTTTTGGGCCCATAAACTCCTGCTACATACTTTTCTTTTCTCCTCTTGCTCTCCTGTCTGTGTACTCATCCATTTGCATCCTTCTCTCACACCAAAACTTTGATGTAAGTCCCTTCCTCAAGGCCACTGGAACTTTAAAACAAACTTCAAAACTTCAGCTCTCCTAAATGCCTGAGAACAGTCTAGTTTCAAGGACTTGGAAGGTCCTCCAAAGTCTCTGAGATCCCCAGGAAGTCTTCCAAAATCTCTGTGATCCTTTGTCTTAGCATGTAATAGCACCAATGTCACTGATGGAATAGTTTGTCATAGATATCTTGACATGTTTTTATTCCCCCCCACCCATATTTCACCTGTTTACTATCCTAGTTCCATTCATAAATATTCTTGGGAGTGATGCAGTTTTCTATAAATTTGATGTTCATAGTACTTCATAATCAACATCTTCCTCCATAAGATGTTCCAGATTAGTTTATAGGACTATAAACTTAGAGAAGAACTGCCCTTGGCTATCATATTTCTCCACTTCACAAGAATATCAAGTATTTGTTAACTGAAATAGTGCTCTATTCACTTGACTCTCTTTTTGAAGCAAGTATTTAGATATGAAACTCCTGGGTAGTCTACAAACCTTTGGCCTCTTTCACTTTTTAACTCTTGGGCCATATTTTCCACATTTTTTTTTTTTGCCATCTACCTTCATGCTGATTTAATTTGGAGGGTCTTGTTGAGCTTTTTAAAATAAAATTTATCCACCATCTCAAGATGCAATTATCTTCATGGTAGTCTCTTTAAACTTTTTTAAAAAATTGTTTTAAAATTTAAAACCATTTTGGATTTAACAAACAGAAAAGAGAATATTTCTATAGGCAAAGTAAAAAAGAAAAGGAAGATTACATGTGAAAAGGTGAATCTCCATTATGTCCAGCTTGTTTTTTAATATGTTCAGTTGTGTCCTACTCTTTGTGACCCCATTTGGAGTTTTCTTGGCAAAGATACTGGAGTGGCTTGCCATTTCCTCCTCCAGCTCATTTTACAGATTTCCTCATCTGAGGCAAAGAGGGTTAAGTGACTTGCCCAGGATCATACAGTTATAAGTGTCTGAGGCCAGATTTGAACTCATAAGACTCCAGGCCCAGTGCTCTATCCACTGTGCCACCTGGCTGCCCTGTTTTAAAATAAAACTACATAGTTCAACATGCTATTTTCAAAGTTGTTTGTTTCCTTCTCAACTTTCTTCTTTTCTGTGCACTTTAAAAGATGCTTCAATGACCCTTTTTTCTTTCTGTTCTTTCTTTGGGGTAACCTATTGTTAGCTCTTCTCTCCTGTCCTAATCCACTCCTCTCATGCAATTAAAAGCACACAATCCTCCTAACAAATAATCTCAGTCAAGCCAATGAAATCTACATTTATCATCCCCCAAAGTATACATTTCATTCTGTATATAGTAGTTTCTTTGCAAGTGTTCATCATGACAAG